GAGACTGGATCTCCTCCATGCGCCATGATGCCATGCTGCCATAATAACTACCTATGCACCAGCTACTAGATCTACCATACTACATAGCTGAGCATAACAGCTACGTCCACGTATCAATCCAGTAACCCGCAAACGTTGGGTGGTTTATACAGACCGAGCCGGTCGACACGAGGCCTTGTGGTTGTGTGGTTGTCTAGCGCAAGGTCAAGTAAAAATAAACAATAACTCACTCCAAACCGAAACTACTCACAACCCTGATCATGACCCCATGAATACTTGGGATAGCAGCCTGACAACTAGCTAAATTAGGCTAGACATTGTTGACTAGGTCCTAATCCGAACAGTTCCAGATTGGAGAGTCGGACCTCCCATAGTTTACTTTTGTTCATTTACGTGCTAGGTGTAGTGATTCCCGTTGCACTCCTACCGGAGCTTAAGCACGGGTGGGCCCGGGCTGGATCAGATTGACTACCACTGAGTACATCTACCTCGTCCCACTTCAGACTTCACCCATGTGTTGCATCATGTCAAGTCTAACCGTCCAGAGAAGCCTCTTTTGACGCGCCGAAGCGCAAATTCCTCCTCAGCCTCGGCCACCACGCGCCCGAGCCCTTGACACCTTCGATTCATTCCCAGCTTTGGCTCATCTCAGCATCTCATCTCATCCAGGGGTCGTTATCTTCATTGGAGGCCTCATCCAGTCGCCCACCAAGGCCTCCTCAGTTTGCATCCCCGTTTAGTTCCTTCATACAGCATCCCTCTGTCCTTCAGCCGATCTCGTCATCCCAGAAACTTTGTAGAAAGTCCACCCCTCCGGCCTTGCCCCGTCGCTGCCGTACCCCTAACCGTGAAGGTCGAAAACGCGACAGAGAGTCTAAGACCGAAGCACCGAAGCCCCGGCCCTTGTCTAACACTCTAGTTGGTGTGCCGGCGAAATATTATACGTACTTTGTCAGTGGCGATTCGTCACAGGTTGGGTTGTTGATGCCCTTGACCGAGGTGAGGACGCATTTAAGGCCGGTATTTCGACCGAACCTTCACAGCAACTGGCAGTTGCGGAGGGTCAGACGTCCTCTTGCTTCTTTGTTGGCGATTTGGCTTCTGGAGGTATGGGATTGCTTTGGTAGGCGATGAGATGATTGTGGATAGGGCCGCGAGATGAGTTTGGCTGGGAGTGATTTTCCAAAGAAATAGAAAATAAGATGTTGAAGGTGTCGGTTTTTGTGATACGAACATCAGATAGGTTACAGGCTGTCTGCGGTTCGTATCTGGGGTAAAGATGGTTGATTTCGTTTAGTTGTGCAGTCGTGAAACCTCTGCAAGTCGGTTTTTCGACCAAAAATGAGCCAACACCACTCCTCCCGATCGCCAACTCGACGAAAACTCTCAAAATTCACCCTTTGTCCTGTCTGAATCTCGGCTCTGGGGGAAAATTTCACTCCAAGGTTCGTAGAGGACACCACTGACAGGCGTAGACATACTGTGGGAATAATAGGTCTGATATTTCCAACATGTTTTCGACTATGGAACGTTTGTGGTCGTCAAGATCGAGATTTCGGCATGTTAGCCAGGAGGACTTTTATTGTCGATGAGTCATCGGCACTTCCCAGGGCCCTGGATGGTAGAAAATAAGTTGGGCTAAGCTACTATACAGCAATCACACTCTGTCAAGACTTTTCTGGCGTTTCAGCAGGACCTTCGGGAAGGAGTTGGAAGGAGGCTAGAAAGGCAGAGGGTGAATTCCCCGAGGAACGCATAAGTGTCACGAAACAAGGTTGTGATCTAAAAGATCGAACGAAGTGTAAGAACTTTATTCTGGCTTACTAAATTGATGATAACACAAGAATATCAACAATATGAAATAAGGGCATTTGCGAAAGAAAGATATTTTACAGGGCCCTGAGATCAACAATAAATGTGGGCCGCACAGCGTTATGGCCTGAATAATTTAGCCAGAGGCAGAGATACTAAACGAGCCATCCGACTACCCGATACTAGTGACAGAGATTAATTACAATATCATCTCCAAGACCGGCGTGCGGAAAGTAGTAATCTTAGGCGTAATGAAAGGAATCCTTGGATAAATAATTAATATGGGCTCTCGGAAATTATTGAGACTCAAGGATCTAGGAATCGCCCGAATACTATCTCCCAGATCAATTATCTGGGGAAATTAACAATCTAATTCAGATACCACTATTCGTTATAAATTTCACGGACGAGCCGGAGATTGTATCGAGGGATTCTTCTGATTGTAGGAAACGGAAGAAATGGCTTATCCAGATGTTCAGTTTCGCAATTTGTCTTATTCCCTTTTCCTCGATTATTGTCTTCTTAGGTATCTTGTGGCCACACTCATTATCGAATACTACTTCCTCACATGTTTTCCATTCTCCATCGTGAACCTCACTCCTCACTCATTCACTTTGAAGACGACGAGTTCTACCCCTCGGGAATCTCGCCGTAACACATGCAGTGAAAAGGAGGAGTTTGTGCACTATATTCCGTAACAACAAATCTGCAGCGCCCAGCTGGCTGGCCTCATCAAACGCTTCAGAAGGGTCACTTTGTCTTCGGATTTAGTCCTAATGTCGATATCAGAAGAGTCCCGCACCCAGTGGTTTTTACGATTTCCCCGGCTGCCACACACCCGAAAATGGCCATCGTTTCGTTGCCCGGCTCGGGACTGGTCACTAGGACCACTCCATCTCCAAGGTAAGGTAGTGGCAGAGCAACGCTCCTGGATAGACGAAAGGGGGCGCTAAGGGGGTATTAAAGGGGTTACGTACCTGATGGAGGAGTACGATACGGGAGAAGAGTTGTGCCGGGAGAAAGGATGATTCTCAGGGGCCAAGGAAGAGAGCCGGGAGAAAGGATCATTTCTCATATGGCTTAAGGGGAGAGTTAATACTAGCGTACGCGGAAGACATAAAGGACAGGATACGATACAGTAGATTTGCTTTCCCAAGGAAAATTGTTCATTTCCATTGCAGTAACGACTTCAAGTACTTCTGAATTCCTACAACCTTTTACACACAGCCCGCCACACTATGGGAGGTTCCGCTGTATGAAGGAGCCAAAAGGGAATACAGACTGGATGAGGCCTCTAGTGAAGAAAAAGACCTCTGGATGAGATGAGATGCTGAGATGAGCCAAAGCTGGGAATGAATCGAAGGTGTCAAGGGCTCGGGCGCGTGGTGGCCGAGGCTGAGGAGGAATTTGCGCTTCGGCGCGTCAAAAGAGGCTTCTCTGGACGGTTAGACTTGACATGATTCAACACATGGGTGAAGTCTGAAGTGGGACGAGGTAGATGTACTCAATGGTAGTCAACCTGATCCAGCCCGGCCCCACCCGTGCTTAAGCTCCAGTAGGAGTGCAACGGTAGTCACTTTATCTAGCACGTTAATGAACAAACCAAACCCACAGGAGGTCTCTTCCTTATGTTTTCACACGCCCCAGTCGTCTGTCCTTCCTCAATATGTATAAACCCATTAGAGCAATAGTCCCACATAAGCCAAGACCCCAACTTTGTATATTATGACTTGATCCCCTCCTTGCGGGTATACGAAGCGTCGTAAATTTCTAGTGACTGATGGTCGGTAACTAATGGGGCAAGCTCCGGTGTGCAATTGGAGTAAAGCCTTTATCGGTCATTGAGGTGAGGTGCTACGTGGAGAGGTTAAGGTAGAGAACTTCCATGAGAATGGCAAGAGCGACATTGATGAGAAGTTGCCAATTATAGATGTGCATGTGTTTGGATCAAAGTTTATTCGTGATGGGCACAAGCCCTGAACTCAAAGAACATGACACGGAGAAGACTAGCTTCCCCTACGACTACATACGACGATGACTCAGTTTGACATTTAGACTGCTCATTTAATGGGTACATTCGCTAATGCCACTCGAGACCTTTGTGCTAGGAACTTTCACCCTTCCATCAACTTTTAATAAATAGCAAAGTGAAAACAGGAAAAACCATTGGCTACCATAACATGCCTTTGTCATCTTGTATATAACCAGCGCTCGAAATTTGGTCTCACAGTCCTCCATTTGTCGAGTGAAGTAGGTGTCCAGACGACCCAGACTTTAGTTCGGGGAGATGACGACCAGGAAGCGAAGCAAAATGCCCTCCATCATTGCCTGCTTTAAGGTGTGGACAGTACTATCCTAACTCGTAGCCTCGGCGCCCACAAATCCTCCAAAGTCGAAACATTCGAAAACTTTGCATCTCAGCATGCCGAGTTGTGACCTCTTCACTCTTTAGTCCCATTTACCATCTGCCTGTCCTCTCTCAAGATGTGAGGCCCCGTTAAAGCTACGGTTTCTCATAGACCAAGATCCAAGCATTGTAGATTATGAGATAATTTCTTCCTCGCGGGTATACATAGCATCGGAGTTTTGTTGTGGGAGATGGCCGGTTTTGGACGAGGCAATTATCTGATTGCAGTTGGAGTAACGCCATTATCGGTAATTGAGGCGAGGTGGTGTGGTAAGATTGAGATGGAGGACTCGCGTGAGAATGATAGGTCAAACATCGATGAGAAATCACTGATTACAGATGTGTCTGTGTTTGCTTTTGACTTCGATTCGGATGCGATTCTTCTTGGCTATCCCAGAGATGCGGAACATACTGAGCGATTAAACCGGCACCACTATAAGGTGAAGAGTTCGTCTTTGCTGTCTCTCATCCGTGGTACCTTGGCTCTCTATTCAATATTTTCAACTTAATAACCCATGTCCCGTATCTTGTGAGAAATTCATCAATCATTAAATTCACAAAATGAAACAAGTGTCATAATTAGTTGCTAGCCGTAACAAAATTACTCCTTTTTCCTCATAAAATTTAAATACATGAATATGTCACTACCAACTCTGTTTCGCCTACAGGCTGAGATAACTGATGTATAGGACTCGTCCACTTTGTGCGCCTGTACATTAGTAAAATCTAAGAGCTGATTTTACTGTAGTTAACATATAGAATTCCAGAGTATTGTCCAGTATTATTGTCCATCAACTCTTGAACATTTATGGTAAGTCTCCCGATAAAGATGTACCATGCCCTGAGGATAACCATCATTGTCAACAATTAAGAAATATTTCGGTCTAGACTCTTAATGAAGATTTAATAAAAATAAGACGAATTGGGAGTGGATTACAACTTACGATTCCCGTAAACTAAAACATTAGGAAACATTGGAAACAATTTATGCGGGCTAGGACCATTCAAGCCTTGAGCATTATAACGTGTAGGGTAGCCGTTGATTGTAGTCTGACCTAGTTGGTGTGCTCGGAGAGCGGATTGGCAAACACTTTCGAGGTAAAACATAGTGCCAAAACAATCATATACCACAATATCTTCATCGCCGGCTTGAGCCGCACCAAATGATGTGAATAGACTGAGAGTTGTCGTGATCAAAGATACATTGAGAAACTTCATCGTGATTGGCGTTAGAGCTTCTTTGCTCAGGTTATCAGGATTTCCGCGTTGTTGAGGGCCTTTTCTTTGGTATACGGGATAATTTCCGCCGTTGGAATATTGTGCAAGCTTTTGAGAGTATGGTAGGAACCGGTGACCTTGATAGATTGGGGCATGGTAGGGTTTTATAGACTTGACTTGTCTATCAATAGACCAGCCGAGCAGATATCTTTGTAGAAGACCAAAAGTAGCGAGGACTAGAGAATCTTCCTCGACGAAAGTGTTGGAAACCTCGGTCCAGAATTATCTTGTCCATTGCAAATTGTGACAAAGCCAAGCTTGCCAATTCTTCTTTCAGTCAGCTCCATAGACTGGATCCCTTCAAATTTCATTTCAGAGGCATTTGCTTCATTCGGCATTAGTCATATCTTCTTCCTTGCTATCTGGGATTATAGATAGAGACTCCAGCCCTATAAGAGCCACATATTGCTGGATTTTTGGGTCCTACGCTATAGGGAAAAGTGGACGAGATCTTTGAAACAGCTCCCGCCTATCCATGACGGCTGAGAGGACGAAAACTAAGCGGTAGTCGACACTGAGATGTCTGGCATTAGGCTTGAGACATTTCCTTTCATGTAGGATTTGCAAGTGGTCAAGGATAGAGTGAGATGAGCTCGAGATCCTGCCTGAAGCTCCTCATACAATCAAGAGCATTGAGAAGAAGAAGTTTGGAATGAAGCTAGGGCGGTAAGCCTGTATGACTGGAATCGAGGGTAGATGAAAACTAGAGTGAGCGTGGAGTTGATAATCTCCACACAGATGAACAGCGCGTGTGCGCTGCCGGACTTTTTCAAAGAAAATACCCAATAACATCAATCCACTCTATGCTGATACGAAGGTTAGAAATAACTCATTTAAATGTATTAAATCAGTCAATCATTTTATGTAAGCATTCAATTCATCGAACACACTGGCACTGTCGTATCCTGAATTCGATTGGGCGTGCCACTCGCAGAAGGCCCAACCCTCATCCAAATTTATAGAACAATGGATATGTTAATGTAATGGTGAATGTTATTAAAAGGGCTCAGGCTAGCTTACATTCGCATCGGGTGATTTTGCTGGGCAAGGTCTCATCCACATTTGGGACCAGTTATCAACCAATCAATAAGATGCGAAAGGTTTCAGACGCCCTTCAACTGTAACGGCTCCTTCAAAATTAGAGTTTGTGTTCGGATTAGTTCCTGGTCAACGATGTCTAGCCTAATTGTGCTATGTTGCAGGCTACTGTTACGATTATTCATGGGGTCATCATCAGGGTTGTGAGCAGTTTCGGTTTTGGTGTGGGTTGTTAGATTGATACCTAAGCGTGTCGCATAGTAGTCAGACATGCGACTCGAGTAGCATATGCACGGTAAACCTCAACCCCAAAATGATGATACGAATCAGGTTTTACATGCTACGTCCTGTATGGCTAGCGTGGTTGGAATATGGGGAATTTACCTGTAGGTAGATAAAGACGTTGTAGCTCTCTGATAGTTGAGACAAGTCTTCTACAATATTATATCGTAATCAAATCTAGCCTCTCATTAAGCAATCTCATGAATTATTTCCAATGTCTGTGATGACAGACATACATATACAATATCGACAACAACTTTAAAGTCGATAACAACAGCTACAGATAACTGCCTCGCTAAACCTCACAGCGAGAGTGGAAACCTTGTTTTTCCTGACAAGGGAAGACTACGGCAAATACGTCGACAAGGCCACAAAGCTTGGCAGGCCAAAAACCCTCCTCCAACAGCCGAAGTAGCTGAAAAGCAAAACGACAGCTCAACACCCAACAACAACATGCAGATATGCGAGAGCCCCATTATCACAGCACAGGCCAACCCGACACGGCTACACTCTCCCACAACTGAAATACAACTTTAATGGTCCGAAAGCAAGGACATAAAAATCAGACAGCCACTGGCCTCTTCATCTTTCATATCAATGTTGCTAAATATGGCCCAGCCCATGACGCTGCCTGTGGAAACTCGAGGGACAAAAGACGATTGGCGAGTTGTCAAAACTGGCGAGGACTCAAATCATAAGATTCCAAACTAAAGAGAAAAGTATCTAGGAGGATATGAATCTGTATATATTTACATGAGAGTTCAACTGTTGAAATAGAGTTGCCAACACGAAACCTCCTGTCCCTCATTGCCTACAACCCAAGGGTTTCACACGAAACCCAATATCCATGACAAACCTTTTGTATCGTGATTTGTCACACACAAGACTCGTCTGTGTGAAACTAGTCGTTAGAATTCCTGGATTGACCCTGTGTTGGCTTACCAACTATTGGACCGACAACCACGTGGCCACTAAAATATCGGGGCGTCACACTGCCCTTGTACTAACTTCACAATCTGGGGCTGATCTTATCCTTAAACAAGAGCCGTGGGTTTTCTCAGACATCTCTCAAAAGAAGACTAAAACTCACCCTAGCTTCCTTGCTTTTGCTCCGCTTATAAACTGGACGAGTTGACCCAGGGTCACGACTTACACACATAAAAGGTGTGGCCTTTCGCCGTTTCAGCCAAGTATCCACTCGAGAGACTTACTAATAGTCTGTATCCAGCGAAAGGGAAGGCCCATGATTGATTGCTGGATGTCACAGATCAACTATAGAAAGCAGGGAGCATTTGTATGGATGATGGTATATTAACAATTCAACTATGTAGAACTAAGCTACAGATACTTAGCCAGGTATTTATACAGATTACTACATTCCAAGCCCTTCCATCTAAGGTCAGTTCATTGCTAGATAATTCCAGTTGCAACTCTGAGAATATGGTTTCTAGTAGCTTCTCCAAGTTTCAGTTACAGTCTTGTTCATGTCGAATCTTATCTAGTACCTTCGACAATGGTTCTGGTATGTTCTGCAAGGCTATTGCGCCGGCCCACCCCCCTGGTGGTTATACGCCAGTACTTGCCATTACTGGCTACAGGAAAATACCGGCTTCTTAGCCGTTACACTGGAACATCTACAACGCCCCCACAGGCTCCAATGACGCAGGGCAAGGTCTGCGCCTACTTTTGACACTCTCCAAAACACCAGAAATTCTTGCCGGAGACTTCAATCTCCACCACTTGGCATGAGATCCGACGACTAGGAACGATACAATTGCAGGAGAATCTTTACTCGCCTGGACAGTCGGCAAAGGTCTCCTACTGTTAGACTCTACGAGTCAATTGAAAAATGTATGAAGTAAAAGTAAAAAGTGTCAATTAATTCCTGGCTGCCATTTCTCTTACTGATACTATCTAGATTATGTACGTCTAGAAAATGGCAAATGCTCTATGTGTCCCAAACTTGTCCCCATAGACCAAGCTTCTCATGCTTTGGAACGAAACATCTCTAGTCAGAACAGATAGAGTTCTTATTGCTACAGCCCAAGCGAAACACCTTTTTTCGAAACAAGTAACTCCAAGCTTTGTAAACCTAACTCCTTAAACTTTATATCTGATATTAATCGCCTTCAAACTATCGACAATTTGATACCTACTCCTCAATCTATACGGAGTGCCAACGCATGACGCTGGCGGAGTACTCGACCTCTGCTCTGCCATGACGTGCCCAAATATTTCCTGCCAAGTTTGCCTGGACCTCGAAGCTGGCTCGGATCACAGAACTATTTGTACAATAATTTCAGATAGAGGGGCCCAAGCTCCTGCACCCGGCCGCCTTCGCTATAATGCCTGCGACTGGAAGGCCTTCGGCACAGTCCTCTCAAACCGACTTACTTCTCCCCCTCTAACAGTTCCAGGAGGGGAAGCTGCCTTTCTTGTAGAAGCAATATCAGGCGCTTGGCGCGCATCTTGCACTAGATCGAGAGAGAAAACAAGAGGCTGTAGATGGTGGATAGAAGAGTGTACAAAAGCTCATCGAGACTTCTGCCGCGCTAGACGCCTTAATTCTAATTTGTTACGGTTTGACCGTGGTTTAGCTTAGGCGGAGACCCAAGCGGAGTTTGGTGTCAAAGTTCGAATATAGAAAGCGAATGGGCATTTGTATGATTGAAGGGTAAAGCTATAATTCATCTATGTAGAAGCAAACTACCTGCAAGTCTACGCTACTACTTATACACATCCAGAGGTATCTAAATCTAGCCTACACTTACAGTGGCAATGAAACTGACTAAAGGTTTGTTCTGCCACACGGGTAACGCCTCCGATACTCTTGGCACTATCCTTTACGTAGCCTCAGTGGCGATCTCGTATCAGTTTTCGCCTGCTGATAATCCTCGGAGTGATAGAGAACATAGGTTGCCTTCGATAGCCATCGAAGGCTACAGGACTCATCGGCTCACAAGCCATCACAATCCCCCCTCTTCTAATTTATTATTATTATTATTTTTTCTTTTAGCTTTTCGTCGCTGTTTTATATGGGATTCTGCTGGGCCAATAAATTTCCCAGCAGTTTCTTTCGAAGGACCGTCATGATTCTCAATTGAGCCGTATATAGCCTCAAAATTTTCTAATGCCTCCGTATCTTTAATATACTCTAGTGGCTCCCATGTTGGATCAGCCCATCCAGTCCATTTGACTAAAGCTTGCCTATATTCCCCTCTTCCACGACGAATTGTCCTGGCTCGAATGATAGCTTCAACTTCATATTCGGATTCTTCAAGGTCGTCAATTAAAGGAGGATTTTGTGCATCATCACGTACTTGACTTGGAAGTGGGTCGTTGCCTGCTCTTTTGATTAACTCGACGTGAAATCGTTTGTGTATATTACCAGGGACGTTTAATTCAACAGTTAGTGCGTCAGGGACTGCGGTAACCTCGTACTTTGCGTGTTGCCAGGCCAGCTTTTTAGAGAGCTGCGGCGTTTTTATGTGACGTAAATCTAGCCATACCTTATCTCCGACCTTAAATCTTTCAGGCTGACGACGAATTTTATTCGCGTTTTGCTCATTCCGTTGTTGGGCGGACATCATTGCGGCTTGCGCCAGGTCTTGCGCATCTCTCAATCGTTGTACGTAATTAATTGCTGCCACTCGTCCTGGATGTCGAGATTTTTCATCTTTAATTGGTGTCGGTTCCATGAGGGGGTCCAGCTCGTAACCATGTCGCAAAAAGAAAGGACTCATTCCTCCAATCGCGGAATTTGGACGTGAGTTAAGTGCAAGTTGGGCCATTGGAAGGAGGCTCACCCAATTATCCTGTGCGTAACATGTGAATAC